GAGGTAGATGTTGGTATACACAGCGTATAAAACTATTACCATGTAGAGGTAGATGTTGGTATACACAGCGTATAAAACTATTACCATGTAGAGGTAGATGTTGGTATACACAGCGTATAAAACTATTACCATGTAGAGGTAGATGTTGGTATACACAACGTATGAAACTATTACCACGTAAAGGATGTTGGTATTTATTTTATCGGTGAGTAGTCACAATGTTTGACATATCTTAATGAACTGCGTGCTCACGAGGTCTACCCTGTTTTTCTTTGCTTAGATATGATACACAATGTTGAATTACTGCGTGGTGTTGTAAGCTAATGATAATAAAAAAAAACATTCAAGTGATATTACAGTAGCACGCAGGCTGAAGTGAACAATTACCTTTAAGGTACGCTTTCCGTGAGAAGACCACACGAGCGGTTTTTATACCGACGTTGAACTCGAGGTTGAAATTGGAAATATGCATTTATTATCTTTTTATCCTGGCCTCAAAATATCAGTACGTTTGAACAAAACTTATGATTCTAGATATATATCAATCAGACACAGAACCACCTCAATACAATACTTCCTAGCATTATGATACGAACGGGTTAAATATATACGTGTTTGTGCGTGCGTGTGTGTGTGTATAATTATATATAGATATATATATGATGTATGTATGCATAGTCTATTTCTAAAAATAGCTCGTACATATTAAAGCTCCACTCTGAGGGAAACGCTACACTATATTAGCCAGCATGTTACATTAGCTGATCCACATGGAGAGTGAAAAGTAAATGGTTGTTATCAAGGCGAGATCGTTGTTCACAATCACGTCACTCCTCAATATTGGAGCAATTTTTAAGTTCCAGTTCCTTTACAAAACACATTAATTTTCCACTTGCGTGGTATCCTAAAAACAAGTCTGAATTCGATAATTCAGTTTGTTTAGTGGGCCCTTTTATTTCTTCTGGTAGAGAAATACTGTTCAGAAAAATCACCAGACTTCTCGCCCCTCGCACGTCTTTATCCACATGTAGTTTGAAGTATCATAGTATTATGTTTGACGTGAAGGATAAGCTGAGATACGTCGTTACACTTAGTGTCCGTCTACTAATTAATTAAACTTATACGTAACAGATGATCTTCATACAACCAGATGTATTTTCAAGATGATTTTAAATCGCGGGGATAGTTTATGGGCAAGTCGATTAAACAACATCTATATAATTAAATGAGTACCTTGTATGCGCGTGGGGGAGGTTTATAAACTTCATTAAACAATGCAAAAATAATATTAGGAGTAGGGAAGAATGGGCGACGTCACCAAATGCGTAAGGGAAGAGTGGGTATAGATAGTACTATGTATTTTAAAGGAAAATGTATTTTGGGAAATGGATCTGTCTTCTCCCAGAGCCTCATTTCAGAAAGCAGTGTTTATGTGTTCAGGTTCTGTGTGTGAATTTCTTTATTTGTTTATGAACACTTAGAGTACTGGTACCGTCACCCTGTTGATTTTTAATATTTGCCCCCGATACCCAGGTTTTAAAATCGTTGCTATATCTGGTGTCTCTTACTACACTAGATAAGTTAATCGGTTTGGCATTTTTGATCAGAGCATTCGGCTCAAAGTGTCTTTTGAGGTGTTTTGTCGGTATCATGTGTTATGTAATAGGTTAACCCACTTAGCTTTAACCTCGCAGTTATTGAGACGCCCCGCACGGCCATTGGATTCATTCAGAAGTCTACGTACATAACCTCATACGTGAGTAGTCTGGGCAGATAATTTAACTGTTTTAATTACTTTAAATACACACTGCATTTACATCTTATAAACTTTTGCATTCAATTAAAAAATATCACAAAAATAAGTTTCCTACGCGAAGTACGAGTTTCCCAAGTAGTTAATTATAATTACTAGTAACATAACTATATCGATCAGAACTAAAACATATCTAGTAAATTAATGAAACAATTCTACATAACCAACTGAAAAAAGTATGAATTATACCCTAAATCATTACACAAGAAAAATCGAAATTCCACTGATCACTTTTGTTTTTGTTTCTTAGAAGTTTTGCGCAAAGCTACATACGGGTTACACATAACCGTAGTAATTTCGAACTAGCAGACTAGAGGGAAGGAAATATGTTAAAAGTGCCCACCGCTTGGTATTTCTGTGGTAACGGGACGCCAGCTACGAACCCTCAGATTAACGGTTCGGGCACGCTAATCTCGGGACCACGCTGGGCCCAGTAATGATTACAATACATAGAATCATCCGTTAAGTACCATCACTCCCAGTAATGATTACAATGCATAGAATCATCCGTTAAGTACCATCACTCCCAATAATGATTACAATGCATAGAATCATCCGTTAAGTACCATCACTCCCAGTAATGATTACAATGCGTAGAATCATCCGTTAAGTACCATCACTCCCAGTAATGATTACAATGCATAGAATCATCCGTTAAGTACCATTTCTGTGAACGATATTTTCAGCCATAATTCAAATAAAATCTCACGAATTTATACACTAAGCTAACAACGAACAAATAATCTTTATACGTGTCAAAGTTAATAATAATAAAATTTGACATCATTTTTAAATATTATAGTCAATAACACTAAACACAGCTTATCAATACACAAATACTCTGTTAGAGGTCATTCAAAAAAGATAAGCTGCTTATTTTCAAAACACTGATTACAATATTTAATGTTTTCTAACTTCTCCACCAAACAGTCACGCGAAATACCAGCTCTGTTCTGTTATGTATTGTTTCTAACTACAAATCATTACGAATTGAATGAAGCCTTTGCCAAATGTTAAAAATACATTTATGTCATGTTCTTTGTTTGTAATTAAGCACAAAACTATACAATGGGCTATCTGTCCTCTGCCCACCACGGGTATCGAAACCCGGTTTCTAGCGCTGTAAGTCCGCAGATATTCCGCTGTGGCACTGGAGGGCGTCATGTTCTTAAATAATATAATTATGTTTTTATTTTTCAAGTTATTCAGGTAAATTCAAATAAAAATGCAGTAATGATTAATGTTGGTAAGTTATACGACATGTCTGATCCGCCGTTCTTTTTTTTCTCTCTCTCTTTTTTTTTTTTGTTATATATATTCAGGAGCTAATTACAAATGTCATTAATATATAACTATGCATATGACATATTTTAAAACTCTCCTTTCAGTTATTCGTTACTCTTCTAGCTTTGATCGTTATTTTATATCAATTCATCATCCTGATGGATGAAATTATTCCAAGGTTAAAACTATGTATTGGCTATAGAATAGTGTACTCCCTACAAAATACAGTTCAATATACGCTATATGTATGTGGAGTTACAACTGAGCGGAGTACAATTTTAAACTAATGTGATTTTACATTCATTTCTGTTATTTCACGATTAATTCTAGGTTTTCAGTTTATTGATTTTCACTATCTTTGGCGCGGCAAGGAGTAATAACTTTAATCCTTATCTTTTTTCTTATTGCTATCTGCGTGTAAAGCTAATGCTTTCAAAACGCTTTTACTTCAGAAGGTTTGTAGTTATGGCGTCCAAAGTAAACACTGCTACTTTAAAAGTTCCAAAATTGAATATAAGTTATTTTTTCTGACAATACTGGGAACAAATATTTATTTTATCCATATATACAAACTCGGGTTTTGAAATAACTTTTTTTTTTACCAACTTGCATATCTCAGTCTGACAACAAAACCATGAACTGATGAGGGCTATATTTTCCTAGATCCAGCTAAATCGGCGAGAAAAAAACGTTCCTCGAGAAGTTTTTTTATACTTTCTTCTTAAAAAACTATATGTGTTGTTTTATTCATGTGACGTAAAACATAAATTACTTAAAAGTTAAAGGAAGTTGGCATACGTACTTGTGTCCAAATGTGTTACAGTCACCCGATATAAACAAGATATAATTTTTACCCTTTTGTACACTGCTAAATATTTATCATTTGAATTTTGAACATTACAATGAATGAAAAATAAGTTTTAATATGTAACATATACAGAGGTTGAACATGAACTTAGAAACACCTAGTGGAAGCGGCTTAATAACGAGTCCTTCCATCTTTAGCTGTTAGAATTCCTTCATTTCATTATAGTGGGGCATTTGCAAGTTCCTGATACATATGCTGGGGAATTTAATTCCATTCCCCAAGGACATAATTTTACATAACGAACAACTGTCTCATTCACTCATGATGACCTTCCAACCACTGTTACAAATACTTAATGAGCCCTATGGGATAATTGCTATGCTGTAATAATAATAACCTTCGATATTGTTCATCGTACAAAGTTAAGAAGTTGTGTATTGTGGTAAGTAAAACATTTATTAATCGGGCTCTTACAATATGTCCTCTTTGAAAGTCAGTTAAGTCACATTTCTTTCCCACATTGCTTGACAATTAACATGGAACAGAGCTTATAGTTGTTTAAACACTACAGATCACCTGTCTAGGAGGTCACTGGAATAACAAATTAATCATTCAGCTAAGAATCAGGCCAGTTTAACATTTGTGGAAGAACATATCTTTAAGCAGGTGTTTCTTTTTGTTGTTGTTCGACCCCTGTATATATATATGTGTGTGTGTTATTCTTAGTGAACTGACTAAAAACACCTCAGTTAGTAAGATAATGACAAAAACTATATCAATATCCTGTTTCAGAACGACCTTTACGACCGTTTTCAAAATAAAACTGTTTACGTATGAAGCGTGATAAACAGTGGAAGACTGTAGGAAATGTTAATATTTTCATATTTTTTTTTGTGATAAAACAACGCAAAAAAATTATAAATGTGATATATCTATTACAACCAAGAGCAAGCAAACTATCTTTAGATAAAGTTTTATGTCAGTGTTTTATGCATATGAACAATCAACGCAAATACATATGAAAATGGTAATAATATAGCATAAAACAAAACTATGTTCGTATATAGTATGTCTTAAAATGAAGTTTCTTCTTACCTTCGTTTTTGATGTTTTGGGTGTTCTCACACTGATGTCTACTGCATATATCTCCAGTTCATAGACTTGAACATTATTGTCCCGGTCCAAAACTACAGCTGTAGTTATTACACCGTTCTTCTTATTGATTGCAAAAACGCGGTTTTGTGGTAGGTCATTACCATAAATTGCCGTCAAGTAGTACTCCACATCGCCTGCAGGGCCGCTAGGGTACTGAGCTCGAACTGATAACACAACAGTACCTACCGGTTCATTCTCAAAAACTGACCCAGAATATTCAGAAGCACTAAACAGTGGACCTCGTTCACGCTTTGTCGTCCCGATCACAGTTATTTTGTTTCTTGAAGACTTCGCATTCCAGGACTCGGCTTCATCAGTCGCTTGTACCGTTAAAGAATAAAGAACCTGGGGCTGGTTTGCTGGATGAGAAAGATACAATTCACCTGAAGTACCGTCCAAATAGAACAGATCGTTTCTCCCTTCTACTAGTTCATATGTCACCATGCCGTTGGTGTTGGTGTCTCGATCGACAGCCGTCACCGTCATAATGACGTACCCATTGTCAGAATCCTCTGGTAAAACACCAGCATCCATAGAGACAAACATTGGAGCATTGTCGTTAACATCATCTACAATTATTGTCACTGTTTTCTCAGAAAATAGTCTATTTCCTACCGGAAGAGCCTGATCGGATGCTACCACTGTCAACCGGAAGGTGTCGCTGTATTCACGGTCGATATCCTTGGTAGTAACTATAACTCCAGTTTCAGGTTTAATAGTGAAGTGATCGCCAGGTGGCTCTTGATGTTTGATATGGTAAGTAACTTCACCATTGATGCCAGAATCTTTATCCTCTGCTGTAATGGTTACCACCGGTGTTTTAGGTGGTATTCCCTCTTCTATTTGTCTTACTATGGCAATGTTAGGGAAAACGGGTTGATTGTCATTCACATCGATAACTCTTATTGGAAACTGTATAGTTGTTGTCAATCTCGGAGCTCCTCCGTCGCTGGCACTAACATTAAGGTAGTAAATGCTATGTTCTTCATAATCTAGCGGCCGGTCAAGAAAAAGCACCCCAGCTGTGCTATCAATTTTAAAAGTTTCTTTGTTGTTTCCAGCACCAATAGAATAAGAAACTTCTCCGTTGATCCCTTCATCAGCATCGGTTGCAGAAAAGGTAAATATACTGTATCCAACGGGCGTATCTTCAGATATTTCAACACGCTGCTTAGGAAACTGAAACACTGGGGAGTTATCATTTTCGTCCAAGACATCAATAGTAACTGTGGCAGTTGAAGTGTGATGCTCATGTTCTCCAGTGTCTGTGGCCAGGACAATTAAAACAAATCGAGGGGTCTTCTCTCTATCTAGAGTTTTAACGACGGTAATCTGTCCACTGGCTTCATTAATCGAAAAGCTTCCTTCGGAATTTCCTGCAGATATAGAGTACAGAACATTACCATTTATTCCGCTATCAATATCAGTAGCGCTAACACGCAAAGCTTGAGTCTGCAATGATGCTCCTTCGGAGATGGTAGTGTGGTAAGGCGTACGGAGAAACATGGGAGTGTTATCATTTACGTCTGATACATAAACGACGACCTTGGCTTCGGCTCTCAGTCTAGTCAAGCCTCCATCCAACACGACAGCTTCCATGATTATGTAATCGTGACCAGAAACCTCCACCAATTTTTCTCGGTCGAACTCGTGCAAAGTTCGGATAAGACCAGTTTTAGGATCCACCATGAAGTCGTTTTGATTTGTACTAATTGAAAATGATAGTTCTGCGTTCTTTCCCTTATCTTCATCATCAGCAGTTAGTCTTCCTATGTAAGTGTCCGGTGGTTCATTTTCAGCCACGTAAAAAATGAAAGTGTCGTTATCAAATTGTGGTTTATTGTCATTTTCATCTATAATATGAATCACAACTGAAACGTCTGAGCTTCGTGGCTTTGTTCCATTATCTTTAGCTTGCACAGTTAGAGAGTAATAATCACGTTTTTCTCTATCCAGCTCACTTCTCACATATAACTGGCCATCAGGAAAAATGCCAAATTTTAACTCTTCATTTCCATCCACGACCTGATATGAAACATGCCCATTTTCTGCAGAGTCACCATCAGTGGCTCGAAGGACAAAAAACCTGTTATTTACCATAGTGGATTCCAACAGCGATGTTTCATATGAAACCTGGTCGAAAACTGGGGTGTGGTCATTCACATCTTCTACCATTACAACAATTTCTTGCCTGGAGGCCAGTGAAGGAATGCCCCTGTCTCTAGCGGTTATTTCCACCTTGTAATAAGTGCCTGCCATAAATTTTACTGGGCGGTTCAAATAGATCATTCCCGTGTTCTTACTGATGGTGAAGGTGTCATCTGGATTGATCGTTAATGAAAACTCAAGCTCACTGTTGGAACCAAGATCCAAATCTACACATCTGGCCAAATAAACTTCGTGGCCCACGGGCCAATTTTCAAGCAGTGTTTCAATTGGTGAAGAAATTTCAAACGTCGGTGGATAATCATTGATATCAAGTATTGTTATGTTAACAACAGTTTCAGTAAATCCTACCCTTCCAAAGGCAACGACTATCAGGATAAACTCTGATTTAATCTCTCTATCAATTTGTTGTGCTGTGCTTATGATTCCAGATCGATCTTCAATTTTAAACCAACCAAGGAAGTTACCAGATGCTATAGTGTATTTTGCATCACTAGACTCTTCATTTCGAACTAAAGAAACTCGACCAACTTCTCGACCAATATTTGGTTCTTGGCCTTCTGGGTCTTCTTCAACCAAAAATTTGTAACCAAGAGGTTCATCAAATTTGAGTGTATTTGCTTCCTGATCAACATAAATCTGAACTACGGCCTGCTCTTGAGATTGTCTTTCCTCATTTTTAGCACTAATAAGTATCTCGTATTTAGACCTTAAGTGACTCTTAATTGGCATACTTGTTTTTATTGTTCCAGTATCTTCTTCGATGTCAAATTTTCCATCAGCGCCACTAAGCATGGAATACCTAATCCTACCATTTCTTTCTTCATCCGGATCTTCAGCAATAACACGGGCTAATGAAGTTCCAACAGGTGTATTTTCTGTAACTAGTGCAAAATATTGTTTAGGGTAGAAAACAGGATCATTATCATTAACATCTAACACATTCAATTGTAAGGTCACTGTAGAAGACAGAGGCGGAATTCCTTTATCCATAGCAATTGCTTTAATAATATGTACTGCTTTGTCTTCCCTGTCCAGTTGAATCTTAGTGGTCAAACGCCCGTGAGTATCGTCTAGGGCGAAAACATCGCCGTATTGTTGAAGTGTTTCCGGAGCTAGTACATATTCTAAACTTCCATTCGTTCCCAGATCATTGTCTGTAGCGGATAATACTGTAACCAAAGAACCTACAGGAGCACTTTCTGACAAAACTACATTTTTCATCTCTTCAGAGAAGGTCGGGGTTTCATCATTCTCATCCAAGACCTGTATTTTCAGATAAGTATGAGCCCAGCGTGGGTTGGATCCACCATCACGAGCAGATATTTTGAGCTTCAAGAAATCTTGCTCTTCTCTGTTCAAAAGCTGTGCCGTGGTAATAAGACCTGTTTTGAAGTCCAAACTGAACCAGCGTTTTTCATTCCCAGAGGCTATTGAATAATAAATTTGGGAATTAACCCCAGAGTCTTCATCTTCAGCTTTGATGGCAGCGACAAAGGTCCCCACAGGTACTAGCTCACTGAGGACAGCAGAATATTCGGTCTTTTCAAACACCGGTTCGTGGTCGTTCACGTCATTCACGTGGATAATTAAAAATGCTGTCGAGCTTCGGATTGGAATGCCCATGTCTTTAGCTGTAATGGTGAGATTATATTTGCTGATTTGTTCACGATCTAGAATACCATTAACACGGACGATGTCAAAACTGGGGGTAGATTCTAATCTGAAATGAGACTGCTCATTTCCTCCCTGAATTTCCACAATCGTCTCTCCATTCACTCCCTCGTCAAAGTCGATTACACTAACTGCAGCAACTACTGATCCGTTTTGGGCATTTTCGTCCACAGTAGCATATTTAGCTGTTGCTGGAAAAAATCGAAAACGGATTATAGGATCGTGGTCATTAGCATCCAGCAGGTTAACTGTAACATAAGCTCGGCCATCTTGTCGAGGTGAACCATAGTCTCGGGCAAAAACGGTAAATACACAGCTCTTTGGACAATTCTCAAGTGCTGGGCATTCTTCCTGGCAATTTAAATAATTCATGGTTGAAATAACTCCGGTTTGAGAATCTATGGCAAACTGAGTCTCTGTCTGACTCAGAAAATAAGTAATCTTAGCGTTGTCGCCTATGTCATTATCGGTGGCATGAACCTGTAACACAGTCGTCCCTGGTGGTAAACTTTCATTCAAACTAACCGAGTAGTCGCTATGATCAAATAAAGGTGGGTTGTCGTTCACGTCCAGAACCGTAACATTTACCTGAAGGAATCCAAATCGTGGCGGACTACCGCCATCTTGGGCAGAAATATTCAATTCATAATTAGACTTCACCTCTCGATCAAATCGTCCCGTGGTTTCCAGGTGTAGATAAGGGGTTTCTCCACTAGGATTGGTCGTTACTACTAATCTGAACACTTCGTCCTCGTTACCTGAAACTATTGTGTAATCTGTGGTTATGTCATTGATGCCTACATCGCCATCTGTTGCTGTGTCTAGAATAACCCTAGTTCCGATATTGGCACTTTCAGAAAATGATACTTGTAAACTAGAGTCAGGAAACACGGGGTTATTGTCATTAATGTCTAGTATGACAATTCGTACTTCGATTGGATAAGTGGGCTGACTGCTCAAGATCACAAGGTCGAACCTGTCGCTCACAAGGTTTTCTCTGTCTATCTCTGTAGTGGTAGTTATTGTTCCTGTTGTTTTGTTGAGCTCAAAGTGATTTGGTTTATCGTTGAAACGGTAAGTAAAATGCGGTTTTATGGGAATCGTCCCAACAATAGTACCGGGAGGTTGTTGTTCTTCTAACTCAAATTGAACTCTGGTGTCTACTTCTCTGGACTTCATGGTCAGTCCTGACACCTGCGTTCCAGGACTCTGGCCCTGTGCATACGTTACTAAAAACAACAGCAAACTCACATACATTATATACATCTTATCAGTTGCTAGCATCTCGTTTATCTTTAAACAGTAACCTTACGGATTTTCCTGCAAACAATAAATTTGAGTAATAAAAAATATTATATCATGACAACATCAAACTTACTGCAATTCTGGTAATGAAACAAGCCAAAACACCAGTGTTACCCAGGACACCAGGTAGAGAAACGTTCGTATTCCGTACACATGAGACCTATCATTTCAAAAAGATGACACAGTCAAGTACAGAGGTTACTAGCATGTTCAGGATCCCTACCTGCTGCAGTCTGCCTTCGTGAAGACGCCCGAAGGCTCCTGCCAAAAATTTAGACACGTTGATTGCCTCACCTGGCGTCACTAGCTTTCATACAGCAACGTTGTGATCAAGTGCGTGTATCGCTGTTAATCTATTCGTACACCTGCTTACACACTTGCTTTCTCACACACACAACGATGCCATATAAAACAACGAATGTTTTTACATTGTGCGATATTTTCTTCTCACATACGACTTCCAACAATCGAGCCAAGTGCATGAATCTGTCTCGGTTCGCTGACGCGACTTTTCACAATCCAAGCTTGAATGTCAGTGGAGCCAGGGCCACATTCCTGCCAGTGGGGCGGGGCATTGACGTCAGGATCGCACCGGCCTATGGTGGTGCATAACATGCGGGCAGCCTGCGGTCACTGACGGTATCCAACTGGGCCGTCACTTGTGACCAGGTTCAATGCAGCACTGTGCTCATGTTGGCAAAGGAAGGCTTTTGATACGTGGTCCAACTCGTTCTAAACACACTGGTGATTGTTTCCTATCAGGTAAAGTTCTTACCATTATTGATGATTCAGTGAACTTTGGCATACATTCTGTTGTGAAATGTGTAATAATCAGCCGCTGTGAAGGAGCTACCTGCTACATACTTTGTATTGTGAAAAGATTGTGCTGGAGGCAGCTCGTAAAATTTGCACCTTAACTCTGACGTAATATGCTTCTACTATTATTTCTAGTTTAGAAATGAAGAGTGTAAAGTAACAAATAGCTAACAAAATCTAAATCCTCTTTTTATCTACATAATTTTGAGAGCCGTGTAGAAATTTGGCAAAACATTTTGTATGTTGGAATCTTAAAAAGAACAAAATAGAGAGCTAGATGTTCGGAAAACCCAGTAGATGACATGAATAGTCAATGGCTCTAAACAGCTTGGAATAAATAAAAATAATAAGAATTAAATAATAAAAAGGGTAAGTTTTTGCCTTATTGACATGTAAGATTTAGACACAAAATAACAATATTACAGGAGTTCCAAGATTATTGAGCCAGTTTCTGATTCATCTTTTAAACTTTGTTTGCAAATGTTTTTAGTAACATATTTCCAAGATCAAAAAATAAAACTCGGAATGATGTGTTAAACACTTGAAAGTTATGTCGAAAGTATTTCAAAAAATCTTCTTATGCAATTTATTAATAGTATTACAAAACAACATGACTTTCTATGTAATAACACGGACAGAGGTCAAATAAAATATGTCGTCAGTAACATCGGTGCTTTTAATACATACGTTTGTCTTTATTGTGAAGGTATTTTACTGTCAAGCAGAGAATGTTGAAATGTTTATCTATAACACTGCTAATAATGCTACCGATACGAAAGTGTAGCAGCATTCAATAGGACTTTGGACATTTGCTAATGTTTTAAAGGTTTATAATATAGCAATTACTCATGAGATGCCACAACTAGCAACTCCTGGGATTCGAAACTCAAGAAACGATTTGTTATTTTTCGAGCTTTCACTCCTATAAATTTCACCGTTCTAATTAAATGACACTCAGCCGTGTAACAGACCTTAGGATTTATGTTTTTTGTTAAGCGCAAAACTACACAATAGGCTATCTATGTTATGCCAACTACGAGTATCGAAACCAGGATTTTAGCTTCTATGAAATTAAAATGAATGATATTTAAACCTTCGCTTGTGTGTTAGTTAATAGCTTAGTGTCATTTATTTGCCATAATTATTTTGAGTTATCTGATCACTTCATTTATATGTTTGTTAATAGCTTAAGTGTTGTTTATTTGCCATAATTATTTTGAGTTATCTGATAACTTCATTTATATGTTTGTTAATAGCTTAAGTGTTGTTTATTTGTCATAATTATTTTGAGTTATCTGATAACTTCATTTATATGTTGGTTAATAGCTTAAGTGTTGTTTATTTGCCATAATTATTTTGAGTTATCTGATCACTTCATTTATATGTTTGTTAATAGCTTAAGTGTTGTTTATTTGTCATAACTGCTTGATTTAGCTGATCGATTATCAGAGTACTGAAAATAGTTTTCGTTTTTTTTTGTTTTTTTTTGTTATTATGGTTTTAATTTTGGCAGTAGATTGAAACAAGCAGCACCAAAGAAGAATGAAATGGCTATTTTTATATTCATTCGTGTGAAACACAAGTCTTGAGATTTGACGGTGTAAAATGTGTAAAACTATTCTAATTAATGAAGTTATTGATAAAGTACCTGTCAATGTAGTTTATTTTCCAGTTCGTCCATGAAAGCAGGCATTATCCTAAGTAATTTTGTGCCTTAGAAGCAAATAGAACAGTTGTAGTGACAAATGACTAGATGATACATCGTGACTACACCTTGGCGTAATCATGGTGGTGCTCCGTCTACCAGAACACTATCAATATGAGTGTTTGTAGAAATGAATACAGCTGAAAGAAAATGCAATAAAAGGACCCTTTATTTTTAGTTTAAAAATCCTTAATGAGAAATTACACTTCTAACAGATGGCGCTGCTTATTATTTCTCCCACTTGCTTAAGTGTGCTTTACATATTTGCTTAATATAGGCTCATTTATTTATTTTCAGCGAAAGTACACAATGGGCTGTCTCCGGTCTATCCACACAGTAAATTGTGCCCCGGATATTAGCGTTGTAAGTCCGTAAACTTACCGGGGAAATATCCTAAACCTCCTAAGCTGGGTTTCCGGCCGAAATGATCGTTAACGGTGAGGGTACCCAACTGACAAAACAATGCATTCTAATCTTTATAAGTACGAATGTAAGAAAAGTATACTTATATAACTATGTCAGGTTGATTTTCAGTTTCGCTCTAAGTACTTAGCTTGCTTTGATTGAAAGTTAATACTAATTAATGACATAAATAGAGTATTGAATTGTCTTCTTAGTGTTTGTTTGTTTGTGTGTTTGTAATTAAGCACAAAGCTACACAATGGGCTATCTGTGCTCTGCCCACCACGGGTATCGAAACTCGGATTCTAGCGTTGTAAGTCCGCAGACATGCCGCTATGCCACTGGGGGGCGTCTTCTTAGTGCAAAGCTATATGATGGGGTATCTGAACTCTATCCACCGCGGGGAATCGAACCCGTATCTTAGCGTAACAAGCCTGTAAACTTACCACTGACGCACCGAGGGACTAAACAGAGTGAAATAAAGGAAACAATGAAAAAAATGAGAATATTCATAATTATTGTGTACATCATATGTGGAGCTAAACCTAAAAATGAATATCAGAATTGCAACGTGCACATATGAAATTTGTTTGTATTCTTTTTAATTTTACTTATATCTTTTGCTTTTTTTATAAAAATTGCATTGCTCATGAAGAAATAATATTTAATTCCTCCAAATTACTGTGTAATTATTCCATTTTTATTTAAGTATTCGTCTCATTATTTTCTTGTAAACTTATTGATTGGTAAAAATAAAATTGTTAACACCGTATAGAGATATAAAACCTAACAAGCAAAATTTTCATCATAGGAAATATATGCTTGTATATTTTACTATTTTCCGTATTTTCTATTAAAACGATATCAAAGAAGATGCTAAAGCTTGTTGTTGTTTTTTATTTGAAAAGCTGAGGTACACGTCCTTTGTTCGGGTTATGATTTTTAAAGAATGTGGAAGTGGATACTATGATAAATAATACAAAAATCCTAAGTTCCACGCAATTTATTTATAATACAACATATTATTACATTATTCAATATTAACTCACCAAAAGTTTTGCATATGCTTTAAGAATTCGCTATGTACACACTTAAAACGTGGTGTACACTGTGAGATGGTCAGGGAGACTTTGCAGGAAGAGGTAACGGCCAAAGTAGTGGTGGTAGGAGTGCTTTCTGTTACCCGCTTTCAAAACCCAGTTCTTAATGTCTTCCACACTGTTTCACGTTATTAATTAATTGACGGTCATTGGCCGCAAAAGTGTCTTACGGGCCCGAGTTGTAAGTTCACGGGTCAAAGTGGGAAGTGGGTATAATTCACGAAACGGCTCTTCATATCAGCTTTATGGTGGCTGTTGGAGTAGAAACTTCAGCTGAGTTTATGTATTATTGTAATAGTAGCGAACGTGTTTCGTTTTTTTCATTGATCGCATTCCTCCACAGAGAGTGCCAGTTTGTAATAAAGATTTTGTGTAAGAAACTGGCGCCATCTATGAATGTAGTTAACGTTAACTTACGTCAAAGATAATAAATGCTCAATAACAGGAATATTGGAGGGTGGAGGGGGTTATGAAAGTCCCATTAACATGCCCCTTGTTCCAAACTATCATCAACAAAGTTTGGTTGAGATAAGCCCGGCGACCTGGGAATAGTTAGATAACGGACATACAGACAGACACAGATTATTGTGCCTTATACATATGAATAGAGTTTGTCACCTATGGCTAGTAGATATGTTGTGGTTTTATTTATATTAAAAATATTAAATAATCACTGTCCTGATATCGCAGTCACCATGTTATAATGTTTTGCTTTATTTTTAGAACTGCTCTAGTTAACTTTAGGTACATAAGAAAGCAATCAGAAATTGTCTTTGAAATTTGTCACTAATACTCATGAAAAAAATAAAAAATCATGGATCTTAAGAAACAAACTGCATGCTGTGAGGTTA